CTTACCAAGAGAAATAAAATTTAAAGTACCTTGAGATAGCATACGTCTCATCCATCAAGATGGGCAAAAATCCAAAAGTTGACGAACTCTTATAGTCAAGACTTGTGGGGAAACAGGCATTCTTATACATTGCTAGTGTGCATGGAAAATGGTAAAACCCTCTATGGAGGGGAATTTGACAATATCTAGTAAAATTACATATGGTTATTTACTCTTTGCAATAGCAAGAACATGTCTAGGAATCTGTCCCAAAGATTCACTGGCAAAAGCCACCCAAATGTCCATCAATAAGGACGTAGTTGAATAAACCAAGGAATGGCCATATAATGAAGTGCTACTCAGTTGTAAAATGGAGGAAGGAATAGTATTGATGCAAATACAGATAAATGGACTGGCAGAATAGGAGACAGAAGTCCAGAAACAGATCCTCAAATATATGAATGCTTGATTTATGACAAAGGTGGCATTGCAGAGAAATGGGAAAAAGATACTTTTGATAAGTGATGCTGGGTCAATTGGATAGCCATAATGAAAAATATGGAGCTTAACTTCTCACACAGTACACAAAAATTGATTCCAGATTCAGTGTGGCTCTAAATGACAACTAGAAGATCACATAGAATATCTCATAACCCTGGGATATTGATATATTGAACTACATTAAAGTTAAGCACTCTGTTCATCAAAATCACCTTTTAAAAAGTGAAAAGACAAGCCACAGAATGGGAAAAGGTATTTGTAACTCATGCCCAATATAGAGGTTCATATTCAGAGTGTGTGTGTGTGTGTGTGTGTGTGTGTGTGTGTGTGTGTGTGTAGAGAGAGAGAGAACTCCCACAAATCAATAAGAAAAGTGTAGACAGCCCTATTGAGAAATATGCAAGAGACTTGAACAGGCAGTTCACAAAAGAGGATATCCAAATGGTCAATAAACATGAAATGGTAATCAATCTTATTAGCAATCAGGGAAGTTTAATTAAAACCACAATGAAGTGCCACCACATTCCTGCTAGAATGGCTAAAATTAAAAAGACTGGCAATGCCAAGTGAAGGCTAGGATGTGAAACTATTGAGTTCATATACCTGGTGGCCATATCAGTTGCTACAATTACTTGGAAAACTGTTTTGCCTTTTCTCCTGAGCTTCAACATATGCATGCTCTATAATCCAGAAGTTCCCCTCCTGGGTGTTTACTCAACAGGAATGTATTCATGTAAGCACAAAAAGACAGGTTGATAACAACATCATTTTAATAGTCAAAACTAGAAACAGCCCAAATGAGATGCAGAAAGTAGAATTAATAGTATGTTCATATAATGCTGTATAGCAATGAAAATGAGTGAACTATAGCTACAAAGACAACTGGAATGACTCTCATAAACATACTCTTGAGCCAGAAAGCTAGGTATAAATGAATGCATACAATATGATTCCAGTTATATAACTTTCAAAAACAAGTGAACCTATCTATAGTGTTAGAAGTCAGGGTAATGATTACTTACGTGGAGGAAAGTGGAGGTAGTACTTGGGAGGGGGTCACAAGGAGGATCCTGGGGTCCTCGTACTGCCTATTTCTGTATCTGGGTGGTAGTTACATGAGTGTGTTTACTTTCTGCAATTCATTATGATTTGTCTACTTCTCAGATGTAAGTTATACATGAATAAAAACGTTATAAAAAAGGGAATGTGGAAGCTCTGTGGATAATGGAGTTATCTGTAGACGGGGAAAAAAAGCAGGCTGCAGCACAGTGTTTATATTATGCCACATTTTTGTTTGGTTTAGAGCATGGCACCTCTCTTCTACCTTTCAGGCCATCCCTGACTGGTTATTACCCAAGCCCCAGCCCTTGACCCTCTGTTCTCCCTGTAACTCAATTTTAGGATATTAATTTTTCATTTCTGTGCTCCTAGTTCCCACCCCAGCTCCAACTTTTCACTTGTTTCTCTATTTCCAACATTCTGGGGGATAGTTCTTGTTGATTATATCATGGTTGACACAAAATCATCTTGTCTAAAACTTGAACTCATCTCTTTTTCTCATGTCTAATAAACTACCATTCTAATCTTACTATTCGATGGTTTCACTGTTCTCCAAACTTAAAATATTTGAGTTATTGTATGACTTAATCTTCTACTAGTCAGTCTGTAACTAACTGTTGCTGATAATTTCTTTTCAGCATTTTAAAATGTTTTATTTCCTTTTACAAAATTACCGTGATACTATCTCATTTGGAAAGCTACAGTGGGGTGCTTGCTAGTGTCCCTGACTTCACCCTTACCAGCAAATATCATGTTGCTAAAATGTTACTTAGAGAAAATATTCTAAAATTATATAGTGATGATGGTGGTGCAACTCTATACTAAGCCACTGAATTGTACACTTAAAAGGTGAATCTGTGGTAAAGCTGTTATTAAAAACAAAAATGTTATTGAGAGCGTGTAGTGATTTCATATCAGATTAAATCTCACTTTTGGTTATATCCGGCTTCGTTTGTCCTATCCAGTCTTATCCAGTGTGTCAGTAGGTAGTCTTATCTCCCTGATGAAAACATCTTCATATTCTAGTAAATGCTTTTCTATATAAGGTAATAATCTTATGAGAATAGTCAAAGCCAAGGATGTTATCACTATTTTAAAACTGAGGAAACTTGATTGGATACAGAATGATTTATCAAGAGTTACAAGGCTAGTCAGTGGCAGAGCTGGTATTAGAATTATTTCAATTAAACATTTATTGAGCATGTTTTATGTACTAGGCACTGGGTGGTACAGTTAGGATATAAAGATATATTCCAATCCTCTGGCCCCTTTACTCAGAGAATTTACCTAAGATACTTATTTTACGACTTCTGGTCTCTCTCTGCATCTTTGCCTTTGCTAGTCTTCTTCCCATCCCTAGACTGCTTTGCTGCTTTTATTTTGTTCGTGTTGTTGTTTCCTTCAAAGCCCGTCCAAACTCTTAGTATGAATCTTTTCCTCACTAACTTTCTCTAAACCTTCTTTTACTTTGAATTCCTTGGGACTGGGCCAGTTATATACAGTAAAACTTGCAAAAGCCAGAACCTGTGTAAGGAAGAAACCTGTCAAATATTTTCCACTAAAACTAGCAATAGAAAAGTGGTAAGACTGTACCCTGTCAAAGGCGGAAAACTTGCAAGACCCGGAAAAACAAGGCAGTCCTGTCGAGCTCTGACTCTCACAGGTTTCATTGTATATATACTTTATATTATATATATATATATATACACACACAAGCATATGAAGCCCTGTTGGTTCAATGTTTAATACTCAGCTACTAAACAAAAGGTTAGCGATTCGAGCTCACCATTCGCTCCACAGGGGAAAAGACGTGCCAATCTGTTCCCATAAAGATTTCAGCCTAGGAATCACTGTGGGGCAGGGAAAAGACCTGACGATCTGTTCCCGTAAAGACTGCAGCCTAGCAATCACTATGGGGCAGTTCTACTCTTGTCCTTTAGGGTTGCTATGAGTCTGAATCGCCTCAACAGCAAACAACAAGAAGTTATACATGAATAAAAACAAAAAAGGGACTGAGGAACCTCTTCTGATACAGAGTGATCTGTAGACAGTGCCAGAGTTGCCACATCTCTTTTCTTTATTTGGTTGCATGCAAATTTACCACTCTAACTGATACGAAAGTTTCTCAAAGGCATAAATGATTCTCATCTACAAATTTTAAAAATGTTATCTACAGTTTTTTTCTGCTGGTGCTTAGCATAGTTCTGGGCCCTTTGATACTTAGTAAAATTATGTTGAATTGAATAGGAAACAAAGGCCTTGTCTTGATCTTTAATGTCTAGTTTGGAAGACCAATCACACACAAGGGACACATCTGTGCACAACTGTAAAACAATGTATCAACTGTGCAAAAGTTAAAAACTTCAAATTGAATGCATAAGTGATCCTGATGAGTTGTTCAGCTACACTGTAACTGAAAGCTTGCAGTTAACTCTGACCTTTAGGCCCCCCTGTAGCCTTGGTAGCTGACACCTTTTTTTAGCACCTTTAGTTAGCCGTTTGATAGGTAGTGATTAGGCTGATTGGGGCCTAGTATTTTCTGGAATGAGGACAGAATACCACTTACTGGCCTTTCCTTTGTTGTTGTTAAGGGCTGTCAAGTTGATTCCGACTCACGGCGACCCTGTGTACAGCAGAACGAAACACTGCCCAGTCCTGTGCCGTCCTCACAATCGTTGTTATGCCTGAGCCCATTGTTGCAGCCACAGTGTCAGTCCATCTTGTGGAGGGTCCTTCTCTTTTTTAAAAGCTGACCTTCTATTTTACCAAGCATGATGTTCTTCTCCAGGGACTGGTCCCTCCTGATAACGTATTCAAAGTATGTGAGACGAAGTCTTGCCATTCTTGCTTCTAAGGAGCATTCTGGCTGTACTTACAGATTTATTCGCTCTTCTGGCAGTCCATGGTATATTCAGTATTCTTTGCCAACACCATAATTCAAATATATCAATTCTTCAGTCTTCTTTATTCATTGTCCAGCTTTCTCATGCATACGAGGCAATTGAAAACACCATGGCTTGGGTCAGGCTCACCTTAGTCCTTAAAGTTACCATCTTTGCCTCTCCTCTAATACGCTCTTAATGTTAGTGGACCACTGTAGCACATGTTGTCTTTACAAGTTGGTGAACCATCCTGTACCTGTATATTTTCATAAGCTTTCTAGAAAAAGGTGAAGCAGTGAAGAGGCATAAGAGTAGTAAGCAAAGTAAAATGGAACTAGCACTCTAAGTCATTAGAAAATACTCTTTAGTAGAGTTCTCTTGCGTCTCAAGTGTCTCACTTGTACTATTGATGTTATGTCAGTTTAGACAGATGACCTATATCTTGGTCAGATAATAACCTCCCAGTGTTCATCTGTTCATTTCAAATATAGGCTCTGTGTCATTCTTGAATCATAATTATTATAGTCAAAATAAAGAGAATTCAAAATACTTAATTTTTTCATTGTTGTGTTTTATAAGGCACAGTTGGTAGATCTGAAATCTGAACTGACAGAGACCCAAGCGGAGAAAGTTGTGTTGGAAAAAGAAGTACATGAGCAGCTTTTACAGTTGCATTCTGTTCAGCTTCAGCTTCATGCTAAAACTGGTCAAAGTGTGGACTCTGGTACCATTAAGGCGAAATTGGTAAGTAGTTTAGAGGGTGACATATACTTGCATCTATTTAAGAGGATGTATAGGACAATTTTTAATGAGGCTTTTTTAATTGTAAAAGGTAATATGTGCTCATGGTGGCAAATTTAGAAAATACAGAAAAGGTAAAGATTATCATGATCATCCACAATCTCATTACCTAAGATGATCACTGATAATATAAATAACCAGCTGATATTTAGAATTTTTTTCCTTTTTAAAAACATGTATAAATGTATTTAAAAGATATTGTGATTATAATGTGTAAACAATTTTTTACTTTACTCTGTTAGGATTAAGTTCAGCCTCATATAACAGAGATACCAAGTTAACATTGGGGTTATTTTTGCACAGTACTGGAAGTTGTTTTTTTCTCAATGAAAGAAGCCCTGAAACAAGCAATCCGAGCTGATACATGGTGACTCTACCGATATTAGGTATCCTGGTTTCTTCTATCTTTGTGTTCCACCATCTTTAGCTCATGGGTTCTATCCTCATGATTTCTTCATGTCTAAATTCCAGGCAGGGAGAAGGAAGAATCTAAGAGAAGGTTAAAAGGATGCTTCCTAGCTGTGTTAGCCTTCTTTAAAGAACTTTTTATGAAATCCTCCTCAACAGTTGCTGCTGAAATCTTATTAACTATCCTGATCTGAATGGCGCTATCTTGGGCACATGACTACCTCCAATAAAATCGGAGTTCTGTTAATAAGGAAGACAGGAAGTGGAGTTGGGTGCCAACCAACAGCACATTCTTTCTTTTTCTGTTAATATATTGTAAGCATTTTCCCTGCCACTGTTCGTAGTATCTGCATAATGTTCATTGTATGAATTTTCTGTAATTAACCATTGTCCTGTTAATGTAAGGTGCTTAAATAGAAATGTTTTGGTTTTTTTTTTTAAGTTTCACTTCAGTTTAATCTTGTGTGTACTGAGTGTATACTGTGCACTAGGCACATTGTTAACTATGGAGAACGCAGCAATAAATAAGACAGTGTTCCTGCCCTCACATAGCTTGGGAGAGGCAGGAGGTGAAATGATGTTGATGATGAGAGAAGTGCATACTTCAGTTTTCAGTTTTATCTGTTTTTAGTTCATCCTGTTTGAATACTTAATTAATTCTAATACAGATATGTTAGAATTTATTTAAACGACTATTTACAGTCTCCTAGAGCTATGTGTTAAGTGTATAATGTTGTGAATATGTTGTAATATAACATATTTGCAATGAACTGTGAGTCTGGAGACCTGGCTTTTATTCTCTGCCAGAATGTGAATTAAGACAGTTACCTTGATCTTTGTATATCAGTTTCCTCATGTGTAAATCAAAGGATTGGACTACATAATCTCTAAAGTCATCTTAAATTCTGGAACTCTATGAATCTAAGTTACAAGTGTTGTTTTATTTAATGGAAATAAAAGTCAGATGGTAACTGCTTCTTTTGGATATTTGATGTTAACATTGAGAAAAAGTCTGCATTTTCATTAGAAAAGAATTTATCTGAAATTTTAACATTAGCCTTGAGGTAAGAACACTGAAGTCGGTGTATTGACTAATCTTGATAAACATTTTTGTCTAATACAATAAATATAGTTACTGTTGTTTATGGATTTAAAAATACATTTATTCTAGTGAACTTTACAACCAAACGATATTCAGTATGTAAGGGTTTTCCTTGTAATGATTATACCACTAGTTAAATTCATTTGTTTGACATCTTTCTAATTGTAAAACTTTTTTCTTATATCTTAAGTCTGTCCCCTCTGTGGAGGAGCTGGTAAGTATGCCGTTTCAGCTTTGCTTTAATATGTCGTGCTGAAGTGTTCTTAGTGTTTTATCTGCATAATACATGTTGTCACTCTTTGTATTTGAAAATGGTGTTAATGATGGCCATTTTTTTAGGGTGCAAACACCTGAGAAGTTCAGTGGGTGGTCCATTGCTCTTTTCTCACTGCATGTTTTAACAGTTTTTCTTTTGTTTGTGATTTGTAGCCGTTATTTGCAAAGCCCATCAATTTTTGGCAACTTCTGAGTCCTGTAACTTCCTCACACTTCTGCTCAGAAGAAGCATTGGCTTTCCCGCTTTTGAGTATACTGAAGATGTACTCAACAGGCCTAGCTACATCCACCCCGAGTTTCTATTTGAATTTATTCCCAGAGAAAGAATGTGCATGTTGGTTTCTTATTTATCCACTGCATGTATTACAGCTTTTCAGCAGTCTTGAGAATAATTGTGTGGTCTTTGAAATAACTGAATTTTGAAACGCTTTGCCAGATTTTACTTTAGAAAATAGCAAGATATAAATTATTAGTATTTTCTGTCACTACCTCAACCTAATCAGTTTCTGATTTGTTTTATGGCTTTATTTCTTTTGAAAATATACTGTTTGCTATCTAAATACAAAGTGAACCTCTTGGTTGTTACCTAATACGAAACAGATTAACTAAGAAAAACATTTTTTTTTTCTTTAAATTTAGAAGTGATTACGTTCCATTTTTTTAATCCTATCCTTGCTTGCCTCTGTTAAGTTTAGGCAGGAGAGCTTGTCAGACTTGTTAGGAGTTTGAATCATTAAAATGAAGTGGTAGCTTAATGTGTTTCTCAGATTTCATAAATATACTATAAATAGCTCATTAAAGCAATTGAAAGTAGATACTACTCAGTGTAAAATTTATTTAGCCAATAAACCAAAGAAATCTTTGGCTTCTAGAAACTCTTTTCTAAATCAAACAACATTAATCTCAATAAATGTCATAAAAAAGGATTTTTGTTTATGTAAACAAACTGTGATTTCTTTTGAAACTGATACCAGTCCAGCCCTTTTAGGAAATAGTTCTGAAGTAAATTGAGATTTTTATAATTCCAAACTTGTAAAAGGAGGATTCTAGGTTATTCTTCAAATCCTTTAAAAACAGTATCTAGAAATAGTGTTCTAGTGGTTGTATTTTTTACAGAAGTGGAAAACACTTGTTAATCATCCTTCTATTTGCCACATTCATAATAACAAGTATTTTTAGTCAAAGAAGTGGTAAATATATCCAGCGTTTGGTAGTTGTCCTTAGCTTTACCTTGTATACTATTACTTGTGTGTGTGTGGGTGTTTAAGATTATGGCATTCATTGACTCATATTTGAATATATTATATATTGACGTTGGACAAAACAGTAGCCCAAGGCAGAAGGTTAAAGTAGTATCAAAATATATTCCATGGATTGCTAGGAATGTGCTTAAATTTCTTTCTCAGCGTCTCAGTATTCAGAATAAAAAGGGAAATAATTATTAAAATAATCAATGCCCATGCAATAGAATATCATTGGCTTCTGAGAAACATTATTTCCTGGTGCTAAGGTATATTTTTATTTAAGTGCTCTTAAAGGGGACATTGTGGTGTAGTGAACAATGTCTTCCACATCTCGTCAACATATATAACCATATTTTTACAGGGCTGTTTATTTTGTAAGTCAGTAAAAGCAGTTCTACTCAGGATAAATGCAAGTTTGTAGTGTTTGGATGGTTTTCTTGATCCAAAAATAACACCTAAGATATCTGTTAGAGCCTGACCCCTTATTCAACTCTTAGAAGGGTTTTGTTTGGCCATACCGTTTGTGTGTGTGTTTGTGTGTGTGTGTATTTGAATTTGACTACCTTTAAACAGTATTTTGTGCCTTCCATTTTCCACTCTACTTTGTTTTGTGCTTGCCTATCTGTTCTGTGCTTGGATCCTGAAGGCATTTACATGTCTAACACTTGATCTATAGGAATAGACAGACTATACTTTTAGGGTAAATTGAACATCATTTCTCACATGTAAATTTGTGATAAAAATTTGATGGGAAAGATCTTGAGATTATTTTCTCTGACTAACACCTATAGATTCACATACATGGACTGTCCATCAAGTTGTGCATAGGATAGAATTGTCTTGTGAAAGTTAAGAATGGATGACCATCCTCCCTCTGTGGAGGTGAGGGAGGCCAGTATTTTCCTGAGAAAACAGTTCTGCATCCGCTTTAACATATGGACAATTGGTTGAGCCACATCCCAAAGTTTACTCATAATCTACACTGTAGATATGCTTCTCTATAGAAGTTTCTCAATGTGTAAATGTTTCAACGTAACTGTTACCAGTATTTCTCTATAATCATAACATTTCTACATAGAATGAGAAATGTCTCTTCTAATTTAAGCATTGTAAGTTTCTTGTACTCCTCTGAGATAAATTAGCTATAAAATTTATCTGTAACTGAATGATTTTGACTTATTTTATAAAATAAGTGATTTTTAGTTTAGTCTAGTTTCTTGAGTCATTTTTAGAAAGTAATGTAAACAACAGATTCAAATATGCATTGAAACCACTCATATTAATATAACATCAGCTTAGAGAAGACTGCTTCTCTTTCTGTCCTCAGTATCAGGGTGCCCCAAGGCATGCAGTTGTCTAGAAGACTTTTCGGTACTGGTTAAAAAGAAGAGGATCCAAATCTTTGTGTTCCATTTTATAACAATGAAGTGGCAATTTCACTATATGCTTTCATTGTCAGTATTATAGATTGTGTGGTTTTGTGTATTTTAAAGAACATGAACTACTGCTGAAGAGTCTTAAAAATATTTTCATTAAATCGTATTTTTTGAACAATCATAATAGGAGAGGGAGCTTGAAGCAAACAAAAAAGAAAAAATGAAAGAAGCTCAACTTGAAGCTGAAGTAAAATTGTTGAGAAAAGAGAATGAAGCCCTTCGTAGACATATAGCTGTTCTCCAGGCTGAAGTTTATGGGGCTAGACTGGCTGCCAAGTACTTGGATAAGGAACTGGCAGGAAGGTATGTTAAAAAAAGGGTACCCTTGGACTATTAGGTGACAAATTGGCTCTTATATTTTAATCTTTTGTGTTAAACGAAACATTAATCTTTTTCCTAAGAATTATTTTAAAATTGGTTATAGTTTACTGTTGTTAAATTAATATTGATAGCATTATATATTGCAGATTTGCTTATCCATATTAAATAAGTATGACTGGGTTTACTCACACACACAGACACAGACACACACAGACACACACACACACACACACACACACACAGAGTAACTTGAAATACTGGCAAGTCTTTAGAGTGGCATTTTTTAGCCATTTCTTGCCTAGACACCATGATAGATGACGTTTACATGTACATTAGAACTTTCATAAGGGATTCTTTCTGTGATCGCTAAAACCTGATCTTTCTTGCCCCTCAAGAAAACATATTGTAATTAAGTTAATGACAGTAATTTTATCATAATAATACACAGGTTCTACTTGCTTTAATTTTTTAAAATAAGTTATTCATAAACTTTGGTGATTTATTATTAGTACTAAATCATTTTCTACCCATTGTTTTAATGTCACATTAAGAACTGATGTGGAGCAAGTAAAAACAATTTATATCATCTTGAAGTACACATTTTCTAATAACTTTTTTACCATATTTATAATAATCATTTTGTAAAAAGAAACTGTCATTAGAAGAAATGTTTTTGTATAGTTAACCTTACCTAAAGACTAGTCTTTAATAGTATCTGGCTGAGTTCAGTGACCTACTTTGATTACGTACAGACATGAAACACATATTAATTGATATTAATCTCATAATTTTTTAGATGTATTTGAATTAAGTATATGACTAAATGAAGTCTCATTCTTTTTTTTTGTTTTTGTTTTTTTGTTTTTTAAACTGGTTTTCCCTTGAAGACGTGTCCTTTTCGGAGTTTTCATATTGTTGTAAATCTGAGAGACATCAGGAGGATCCTGAGTATTAGTTTTATTACTAATTGAGATTTATGCAAGAGCTGCTGATGCTCAGTAATTCTGTTGAATTATCTCTTTGGTGAGCATAATGAGAAACTAACTCTATTAATTTTTTTCCCATTATGAAGGGTCCAACAAATACAGTTACTAGGACGAGATATGAAAGGACCTGCTCATGATAAGCTTTGGAACCAATTAGAAGCTGAAATACATTTGCATCGTCACAAAACTGTTATCCGAGCCTGCAGAGGACGTAATGACCTGAAACGACCACTACAAGCACCACCAGGCCACGTATGTTTGCTCTGATACAGCTTCCCACTCAACCTCTTCCTTTTGTCTTTACTTAGAATTCTTTCTATTCAGTTTTTTGTTCTAGTAGTATTTAAAACCTTTATTTAAAAAGTGAAAATGGAATTAAATTTATTTGAAACAGTTACATATTTAAAATTTCAGTAACCCTTAGAAATTTCAGTAGCTCTTCAGAGACTTACTAATTCCCTGAGAATGATATTTCTGAAGACAATGAGCCATTGCTAGCAAACATATTGGTAGTACTTTGAATCATGATTGTGTATGCTTACATTTGTTTTAAGCTGAGCCTAGAATTTGTGGTCATATTGATAAATTGCCAAATATTTTTGAGTAGTTCTTTAACAGTAATTTCGGTAACTAAAGGGGCCCTGGTGGTGCAGTGGTTAAGCACTTGGCTGTGAACTGATAGGACAGCAGTTCGAACCCACCAGCAGCTCTGCAGGAGAAAAGACCTGGTCATCTGCTCCCGTAAAGATTACATCCTAGGAAACCCTCTGGGGCAGTTCTCCTCTGGCATATAGGGCCGCTATGAGTTGGAATCTACTGGAAGCCTCACAATAAACAACAACAACAACAAATCCAAATGCAGATTTTGAACTAAGATTTATGCTTGCTTGGTCTTGAATTAAGATGGAATTTGAGGTTTGTGTCTGATTGCTTCTGTCGCCGCCATTTACAGAAGTTTTCTATCTTGGTAAATCTTTATTAAATTTCTTTACGACAGCTGCTTGATAATACAAACCTTAATATAATGAAAGCGTGTCTATCTTTCACCCAGTGGCTCTCATATCTTAGTACAGATAAAGTATGGCCTTAACAAAGTAAAATAATGTGTTGCCTCTTTGAAATGTAAGACGAATTGATATGTACATGACGGTGGGAGAGGACTGGGGATTGCAATAAGCACTTATGCCATTGTCTTCTCTGGGATATTAGTGATCTTCATTAACTTCTAGGATCAGTAGATTTGGGAAATGGAGAGGTTAGGAGGAAAACAAAGTAGTTTGTGTTGAGTGTGTCAGGGTAATAAAAGGAGTCTTGTGAAAGTGGCTAAATAGAAGGCTGGAGTTTTAGGCAGTGGCAGATGGCAAAAATTCTTCTGTGCTAAATAAAAGAATCTGAACTTTAACCTGACATTCAGAACTTTTAAATAAAATAGTGGACTTAATGAGATTTACAGTTTTGGATTCTTACTTTAGTATAATAAAAAAAGATATATTGGATTAGGGCCAAACTGGAGTCAAGGAGATATATTAGAAAGATACTACAGTAATAGGAGAAAACGATGAGGGCAGGAGAAAGTGGAATTTGAGAGGAAGGACAGGTTTGAGAGAATTACTCGAGTTCAAGAGGAGTTGGTGACTAACTGCTTTGGCTGAGTAGGTGAGTGAGAAGGAAATGTGTAGGTTATTGATTTGGGCAACTGAATGAGATGATGGCATTCACTGATAAAGGAAATGAGGAAAAGAAAGGTTTTGAGGAAAGCATGATGAGTTCGGTTTTAGACATGTAGTGCTTGAGCTGCCAGTGGGATATCCAGGATATATCTGGTTGAACATATGACTCTTAAATTCAGGAGAGAAAATCTACATTGAAGAAATATTAAGGAAATCATCCGTCTGTTGTAATTGAAACCATGGAATTGATAAAGGTCACCTAGTGAATGTGTACATAAAGAGAAAAGAATAGGAGACCAAGGATGAAAACTTTTGTGGAGTGAAGGATAGAAATGGATCACCAAAGAAAGGAAACTGAGATGGAGCTGTCAAGATATAGGCCACCTAGGGAAGTAGTGTTATAGAAACCAGGGAAAAGAGAGGGTTTCGGGGCAGGGGGCGGGGGTAGTCAGTAGTATCAACTTCTTTCTGTAGGGTTTAAGTAGAGTTGTGACTAAAAAGCGTTCACTGGATGTAGCACTATTGGTTGTCAGTGAACATAGAGGAGACGGTTTCAGTGGAGTGGGTAGGGGCAAAACCCAATTATAGTCATTGTATGTGGGAGGTAAGGAGGGAGATATGGTAAGGATAAACTTTGTGTGAAGTTTCAGAAAAGTGGAGGAGGGTAGTAGCTACAGAAGATTGTGGGTAATTGAAGGGAAGAGATTTGGATTTTTTTGTTTCGTGTTTGTACATGGTCAGTACTTTAAAGCTGGAAGAGGCTTGGAATTTGTTTATATTCTGAATAGGGAAGGAATTTAATAGAGAGGGAAAAAGTAAAGGTACCAGAGAAACAAGTATTAATGGAGTAAGGCCCTTTATTTAAGAGGTAGACTCTAGAGCACCAAAGAGAAAAGAAGTAATTAATGTTCCAATTGGAAATTTGTTTTTCAGTTATACAGATCAATTGAAATAAAGATCTTTAAGAAATTTTTCAGTGAAGATAGACAATTATCTACTTTTATTTTTTGAACCTATTAGTTCATCAACTAATTCCTTGTAATAATTTCTTCTATAGTGTTCTACAATTTAAAAAGAGTATCAATATTAAAGAGATTATTGATTAAAAGGTGAGAAAATCATACATAAATTTCACTATATTAACAGAACAGCTATTTTCACGTTTCCATTTTATCTGTTAGTCTTTTGATATAACTTTCTTAATTCTATACTGTGACTCCATCCAGGAAATTAACAAACATTTCTAAAAGCAAATTTTATAGTATGGTTTTACTCCATTTGGTGTATTATACGGTAATATTAATTTTTCTTCTTTTTTTTCCCCCAATTAAGGATCAAGACTCCTTAAAGAAAAGCCAAGGTGTTGGTCCAATTAGAAAAGTTCTCCTCCTTAAGGAAGATCATGAAGGCCTTGGCATTTCAATTACAGTAAGAAGTAGTGCTTCCAGTCTCTTTTTCTACAGTTATCTAGTATAAGCATGCTCTTTTGTTAGATATTATTGGGGAACAAAATGTTCTGGATACATTTTCTCTAATAACAAAGTTTATACTCATGGTACCATAACTTATGTTTTATGTAGACTTTTTTTTTTTTTTTTTTGCACATGTGAATCTTCCTAACAACTGCTAAATAAACCTTTAATAAGCAAGATTTCACATTTTCATTATGACTCAGGTCAGAGTTCTGTGCCATATACTGTCATGCCTCTAGGAGCCTTTGGGAATAAATACAACTCTTTTCTTCTCTGTTAAATGGCTCCAAATTATATTGCTTCTCTTTTTAGAGTGTGTGTTAATCTTTCTCTTCTCTCATTTCTCTGCTATCGCGTTTCACTGACTGTTCGATATATATTCTTCTTCTTCCTTTTTTTTTTTTAATTTGATATGTTCACAAACATTGGGCAACATTCCTGAGAGCAATCTATTATAAAGTACATATATTTGGAGTCATTTTGCCTGTATTCTGAGTGCATTGTTCCAGATGAACGAGTAAGGTGGCTTTACTCTAATTTTCATTTGGTAATACGTAAGCACTGCATAAATTCATTTGCTTCTATATTGCTTAATGTAGGAATGTTTTTTATAATAAAAATTGATCTAGTGGGTATTTATGGAATAACCTGTCTTTTTTAATACACTGCCCTCAAAGAGCATAAATTCTACTAGGAGAGATAAGATATACATGTACATACATAAGTAACTACACTGAAACCTGTGAGAACCAGAAGTCGATGGGACTGCCTTGTTTTTCCTGGTCTTGCAAGTTTTCCCCCTTTGACAGGGTATAGCTTACCACTTTTATTTCACTCTCTATCAGTGGAAAATATTTGAGTTTTCCTTCTCTGACTGGTTTTTGCCTTACACAGGTTCTGGCTTTTACAGGTTTTATTGTATAATGCAACCTAGAAAGTGATAAGTACCAAATACTGTATTTCTTCAATTCTGCGTTGCACATTTTTTTTCACATTTTAACATCTCTGAAATTGAAGTCCATCTTACTGTCAATTGATTGTTTTTGTGGTACATAAAGTAATGGTGTGTCTTACCCCACTGATAGTGATTTAGGTTTGATAAATTATAGTAGTGTTGTGGACTACTAAGACTTAAATATTCGTTTTTACTGGAAGAGTTTAGCCAATTACAGTTTTTTGATTTTTGTTTTGTGTGGGGACTTTTTTTGGTGGCTCTGGAATGTGTTTTAGCAAAGCACATGTAATTAATCATTTTACTCAGAGGTAACTCTTTGATGCTTGTAATAACTTATTTTCTGTTACTTAAGTAGCAAATAAGATGTCACCCAATATTTATGGAGACAGTATAGGTGGTTATTGAAAGATATTTTTAAGAAAATGTTTTATGTCTATTTAGAATAGTCTTTGACTATATTTTTCAAAGAGTAGATTAATTTACTGCTCTTTGTTGTTATTGTTAGGGTGGGAAAGAACATGGTGTTCCAATCCTCATCTCTGAGATCCACCCAGGGCAACCTGCTGATAGATGCGGAGGTCTGCACGTTGGGGATGCTATTCTGGCAGTCAATGGAGTTAACTTAAGAGACACAAAGCACAAAGAAGCTGTAACCATTCTTTCCCAGCAGGTAAATTCCCTTTACATAATTAAAATTGTGTCTCTCAAGTGGTTCTTTTTTAATCTGTTGAATACTTTATACTTCCTAGAAAGTTTCTCAAATAGTAAAGTGTTTATATATACAGTATGTAGTTCTCTTTGATTTGGAGCTTTTATAAAGACATTCAGCCAAATTTACCAAAAAAGATTTTGTTTGCTTTTTTCTATAGCTGCATAACTCCCAGTAAGTTACTTAAGTCCTCTGTGCTTCAGTGTCCTCATCCGTGCAGTAGGGATTGAAACAGAGTTGTGAGGATTAAGTATGGTAAGAATAGGACCTAGTACTTAGAAAGCAGAACATCATTAATGACTAAAACACTATACAAATGTAAGGTACAGGCAGTCCCGGGATTACAAACGAGTTCTGTTCCTAAATATGTCTTTAATTCGAATTTGTACATAAGTCATAACAGGTATGGTTCGTATCTAACGTCAGTCAAATGTTTGTCTTAGTATATAGTATATAGTGTACCTTTCTATGCATAAAAAACATTTAAAGAAACACTTCCAGATACACTAAGACATCTTTAGCATAATAATACAGTAATAGTAATGTTTTGATGTCCCGTTTATTACTACGATCCATTGTATGTACCTCGAATTTTTAATATAATAAGCTTTATGGAGGTTGGTTCGGAACTACAGATTGTACATAAGTTGGACGTTTGTAACCCAGGGACTGCCCGTATTGTACAAAGGTAATGCTAGAATTGGATTGATTTTACAGTCATAAATTGTTAGAACTGAAAGGTCTTTAGGAATTATCTAGCCCAGGCTTCTTATTTAAAATGAGTAAACTGACGTTTATAGAAATTAAACGATTTGCTCAAGGTCACAGAGCAAATAAATTTAGATTTGGGATTAATACCTAGGACTCATATTTGTTATCTAATATACTTAAAGTGTTTGTTTTGTTTTTCCCTTTGAGAGGTTGTTAGTATATTGAGATGTTTGTTGGATCATCAGTATAGTATGCCAAGTAGAATTGAATCTGAAGAGTTGAAAGTAAATTTACAGCTCATTTAGTTCAACTCTAGTGAACATCACTACTTAAATAATTGCATTAAAGGAAGACTTGCCTGATGATCAAGTAGTCCATTCTGTTGTTGTACAGTGCTGATTCTTTTTTTGAAAGCTCTTTCTCAGTATTAAGCCTGAAATATGTGTCTCTGTGATAGCCACCCACAGATCTAATTCTGTCATCTAGAAGTGTATTAACAACCTCTGCATTATCCATTTATCTGCCCCAGAAATGGTATTTTTAAAGCATTATCTGATGAGAGATCTAAGAATGCTATACTAGCCTCTATAAGGTAGTGTTTTTCCAGACCCAACTTGGCTGCCGTGCAATAGCACAAGAGTGGGATGAATGGAAACTGGTGAAGGAACTACAGATAGGCAGTTGGTAAACACTAAGTGCATATTCTGAGGCATAACCTGGAACTACTGGGAAAGAGGAGCACCAAAGAGACTAAATTAGTGAGTAGTAATCAAAAATGGCTCAGGGTTTTGTTTTGCTTTTTTGAGGAAAGGCAGTCTTAGTTATCTAGTGCTACTATAACAGAAATACCACAAGTGGATGGCTTTAACAAAGAGAAGTTTATTCTTTCACAGTCTAGGAGGCTAGAAGTGTAAGTTCAGGATGCCAGCTCCAGGGGAAGGCGTTCTCTCTCTGCCATGTCTGGGGGAAGGTCTTGGCATCAGTCTGCCCCTGGTCTGGGAGCTTCTCAGTACAGGAATCCTGGGTCCAAAGGATGCACTCCCCTCCTGGTTCTTCATTCTCGGTGACATGAAGTCCCCCTGTCTCTCTGCTCCCTTCTCTCTTTTATATCTCAAAAGAGATTGACTCAAGATATAACCTAATCTTGTAGATTGAGTCTTGCCTCATTAACATAACTGCCTCTAATCTTGCCTCATTGATATCATTAAAAAAAAAAAAAACAAAAACCCATTGCTGTCAAATGGATTCCAACTCGCAGTGACCCTATAGGACAGAGTAGAACTGCCTCGTAGGGTTTCCAAGGAGCGGCTGGTAGATTCGAACTGCCAACCTTTTGGTTAGCAGCCGTAGCTCTTAACCATTGTGCCACCAGAGCTCCCATTAACATCATACAGGTGGGATTTACAACACATAGGGAAATCAGATCAGTTGACAAAATGGTGGACAGTCACACAATACTGGGAATCATGGCCTAGCCAAGTTAACAAACATTTTGGGGGGGCAGAATTCAATCCATAACAAGCAGAGATAATTTTCAGAGAGTTGCAAACATCAGGCTTGTGTATAGTGATTGTAGTCTCTTATTAAATGATAATTGTAATTGGGATTTTTTTTAGCATAAAAGAATCTAACTTTTTACTTGAACATTTAAAATTGTTATTAAAGAATAACAGTACAAATATTACACATTTAGTTCAGCATACTAGAGAGAACAAAGGCTTTAGAGTCAAATTTCTATTTTTCTATTTACTTGTTTATTGTATTGGGAAAGTTATCTGCTCTCTCTAAGACTCATTCAGGCTTTTCGTTCATGTAAGAGAGACTTCAATATGGTTATTCTGAGGATTGAAGTATATAATTTTGTTCACCAAATAAAGTAACTACTGTTATTAGTAGACAAAAAACCTTGAGTAGTACTACATATGGTAGTTAGTGAAAGTTAACAGAAGCTTCAAGAGCTATTCAATAAGAAACAAGAAATCATTGTGTAGGAGTTTCTTGATTTAGTTAAGGAAAATTTGTTTGATGCCCTTGGGTGCATCTGCATTTAATATCTGACTGTTTAGGTAGATTTGCTTAATTGCTGTGTAAAATGGAAAATGACAAAATGGTTTTAAACTGAACACTTGTTCTAAAATTCTATAAATTGAATAATTGGGTATCTTTTTTTTATTTTAAATAGGAAAAATATGATCAGTAGAAAGAGTTACTGTAATGTTAAAGGGAAATTATTTGAAGAGGATTCACGGGGTTGGTCTAGTCTGATGGATCTTTTCTTCTTGAAAGTCTAGAATTCCATTACTTACTGTCATAAAAGGAGCTATATCTGAGGTGCAGCTCATTTTCCCCCACCCCAAAGAATTTAAAGATACTTTTTAAATTACAGTAATTTGACTTCCTCATTTTCTTTCCCCATTTTAGAGAGGAGAGATTGAATTTGAAGTAGTTTATGTGGCTCCTGAGGTGGATTCTGATGATGAAAATGTAGAGTATGAAGATGAGAGTGGACATCGTTACCGTTTGTACCTTGATGAGTTAGAGGGAGGTGGTAATCCTGGTGCTAGTTGCAAAGACACAAGTGGGGAAATCAAAGTGTTACAAGGTAAAAAAATCACTCTAAAATGTATTATTAATAAATTTTTTAAATATAAAACTATCAGATGTTCTCCACTAACACTGTTTTAATGATAGGGAAGCCAAAAGAATGATTAACTTTCCCTTGCTTAAAATTTTATTGTATACCGGTAGCTATGTGAAAATTGTATTTATATATAAGGTTTTCTAGATTCATCTTGAACTGTTAAGAAAAATACATTACTAGTTACTGGACTATAAATGATCCTTGAAGAATAAATAAAATTTAAGTTTTTTAGATTCTAAAACAAAGATCAACATGACTTCTAGAATAAATATATCTTAATGTAGTCTCTTTGTCTTAATACCAGTTCTTCTCTCATAATACAATATTATATACTTAAGTATGAATAATGAAAAATAGAGTTATTTTTTATTAAAATGTGTTATTTATGTTAACATTTATTGGGTTTATTGTTATTTTTAGCAAAGTAATAAATATTTTGAAAATTTCTCAGTTTTAATTGCTAATATGGTAAACATCAGTAATGATAATCCACATAAAAAAGCTCTTTGGAGTTCTTAATACTTATTAAGAATGTAAAGGCATCCTACCCCCAAGACTATTGCCCTAAGACAGTCTTCTAACTTGAAACTATAGACATTCCCGGAGGCCACCTTTCAACCAAATAATAGACGGGATATATTTTAAACATTAACATTCGTAAAGAATGTGCTCCTTAGAACAGTCGACTATACAAGACCAAAAGGGTGACATTTGCCCAAAACCAAGGATGAGAAGATATGGAGGGACAGGGAAACCAGACTAATGGAAACACGGTATCCATGGAGGAAATGGGGAGAGTGCTAACACATTGCGGAGATTGCAACCAAGGTCATGAAACAATTTGTGTAAGAATCATTGACTGGAAAATTAATTTGCTATGTAAACTTCCACCTAAAGCACAGTAAAATGTTATATAACAGAATGTAAAGGCGTCCTGAAACCAAAAATTTTGAGAACTTACGACATAAAGAGTTTTATGGTGAATTGATGAACTGCTGCCCTTTTGGTAAACTTATGCATTGTGAATTATCTACACAAAGACTGTAGTAGCAATTATTGTTCACTCCATGCATCTTGAACAAAACTACTGCAGCAGTATGTTAAAAGCTTACATTGTTGGTCTCTTCTTATGGTTTCACTTTCTTTCAATCTTTCTACTATTTTCTACCAGGATTGGAAGGCTTGTCCTTTCCTTTTTTGCAGTTGAGGCTACAAGTTTTTCTCTGTCACCTGTACAAGTTGCAGACTACTTAAGAGTGACTCAAATAACCAAAAATGTATGCTCCTTTGATACATCACTGTTAACTGACTTATATAAAGTACGTTCATTAGTTATTGCTTAGCACATATCCATACTTCATAGCTCACTAAATAGGTGACACAGCCAACTCTTATTTATTTGCAAGCCTGTTACCTATTCTGTACAGTTGGCTCAAACATAGCAACAGTTGTGAGGATAACACTGGTAACACTTCGTTCTGTTATACATAAGGTTGCTATGAGTCAGAACCAACTCGAAGGCACCTAACAACAACAGATTATCCAAAATAAGGTTTCAATTTTAGCTAGATGTTATCTTGCCAACAAACTAAATTTTTAGTGATCAATCAGTAGGTACCCCAGTGAACTGAAGGTAAATAAGTCTGAATGCAAATACGTCAAAGAAAAATAGAATTCACAGTTCAATAGAAATTTGTGTATGTAGAATTAATGGATTTTACAATTGTATGTATCAGTTCTAAGTCTCATAGAATACTTGGTAGGACATTTTATACAATATTTAGGTAAGTACAGTGGATAGTATTTAAAAAAAAAAATTGTACTATGTTTGATAGCTGATATAAGGAGGAAGAGTTCCCTTGTCAGAAATTGCTAAACTGACTAACGTCAAAAAAACAAACCTGTTGCCATCAAGTTGACTCACAGCAACCCTATACTAGTGCCTGATTATTTTGCCTCGTATTAGTATTATTAATTACAGTGGCCATTCCTTTGTTTCTCGTTCAATAAAATTGTAAGACTAAGTCTTTATTTATTTATTTTCCTTTTACTAGAAAGTATCTGCTTTTATTTATTTTTTTCTTTCAGGATTTAATAAGAAGGCAGTAACTGATGCACATGAAAATGGAGACCTGGGAACTTCAAGCGAAACTCCCCTAGATGACAGCGATTCTAAATTAGATGATCTGCACAGTCTGTATCATAAAAATTCTTATTAAATTGACTGTATCTCCAAACAAGATTGTTAATCAGACTGTTCTGAATTGGGGGCACTAGGGGAGATGGTGGCAAAGACTATACAAGCTCAAGGGAGGCTGTTTGTTGCCTAAAAGAAAGCTGGTACCTCAGGGCTTCATGGGAACAATTAATTCTAAATGCATAAAACCCCGTTTTCTGTAGTATACCATAATCAACTATTGCATGTAAAGCAATTTTGATTTTCCTAAAATTGTAAGCACCAAAGCATGTGTTTCCCAAAAGGATATTACTAGGTTCTTAAGTACCCAATGAAGCACTGCTGTTTTATTTGGTTCCTTTTCCATTGAGTAGAAGGACACTGTAAACTGAAATTTTATAAGAAATAACCTTTAAATACAAGAGAGTAAATGAGATCATATGATATATTACAGAACGTTAAATGTGATGTTTCAGAGGGCAGAAATTGACTCAGTGTGAATTGCAGAAAATATAGGTTTGACTTAATTTTTTTTAACTGAAATAACTTTTTTTTTTTTAATTTACCGTGCATCCTGATATCTAAATCAATTCTTTACGGTCGTTTATTGTAATGAGTTTTCCTTTCAGCTGTATTCACTGCAGTACAAATAGTTTTCTTTAAGCAATCCTATATCAATCAATGCTGCACTAGAAATAGTTTCTGAAAAGTTCTTTTACATTTTAGATCTTTTTTAAAAGAAATGCAGGCGAGTGTGAAATATCTGTCCTCAATTATGTTGATCTGTATACATGGTACTAGAGCATTACACTATTAATATTTAGTCTCAGATGCCTATTTTCTGGGATCCGCGAAAGAAAGTTTTGTACGTTTTGGGTTGTTCGTAAAGTTTGTCTTGTGTTTATCTTGTTGGCACTTAAAGATAAATTTTCCTGGCAAGGAAATCTCAGATTTATTACTACGTCCCAAATACACTGTATTCAACAGCAGTTTTCTCTTAAAGTAACTGATTTGTCAATTATTTAAAAAGCTGGGGGCAAAAGTGGGCAGGATGAGGTGAGGAAATTTTGATAAAGTAATTGTTTTGGTTGGCTTTTCATGTCATTATATAGTTGACTAAAGCACCCTTCATATGCAAACTCTCCGAATTTGCTAGTTTTCCTATCCCAGGATTAAGCATGGAGTGCTTGCTCTCTTATTTACTGTTCTGCAGGCCACTGTACCCTGCTGGGCAAAGTCACAGTGTTGCATTTAAAGAGGTGATAGTTTTGCCAGTATCACTGTTTTAAAGGATATACATTTAAGGGATTTTAAGTGGGAAAAAGCCTAAAAGACTTTTAGAGCATTATCAGTATCTTCCATTTCTAATATTCAGATGTTATGTGATATAAAACACATTTTCTTGTCTTTCCCAGATGCACTATATATTTGTTCATAGATAAATCTATAAAATGTATATACTTTATTTGGTGATTTAGCTATTTATAAATTTTATGTTTTAACTATTGCTCATCTGTGGTTTGTTTTGAGTGGTTTTATCTGTATATCACCATGTTAATTTGTAATAGAAGTACACTTCATAGTGTATATTGTTACTGATATTAAAATACTTTGTAGCATAATGCCTCTAAGCAAAAGCTAGTATTTAATTGTACAGCTGAATATCAAGTCACATGTTATTGTTTGCTCTGACAGGCTAGGCCTCTTAAAAGAAGAAAAAAATTGTCCTCATGCATTCTCCCTACCCCTACACATACTGCCATGCATGATCTTCACATTGGATATTAGTGTATTCATTTACAGAAAAAATTTCTGTTGTGGCAGATCTGAAAGCTTTTTTTGCTGTGATGTGAATCCATGGTATTCTTAAGTTCAAAAAACATAGCCTGGGATGGGATGACCATCACATTTTTTTCCAGAGAATATTCTTTATGAACTATGACTGAAACCTTAGGAAATAAAACCATATAATGAGTCTATGAAGAGTTTTTTTGGAGGCTTGAATTGACGTTTTTGTGAGAATGCTGTGTAATTTGAAAGATGGTATGAAATGCTTGTGATACAAATTTCTTTCAGGGGCTGATAAACAGAATGAAAAATTTTCCAAGTCGCTTAAAATCCCACAGGTCAGATCCCTTTTCATTCCTGCTTCTCCTGGGCTTGTCAGCCTATATTGGAGCACTGTTGGTCAGGTACTGCTGTGAGCTTTCTGTCAGATGTTTTAGAAAGTACCTGGTTAAAAGTTCATTTTAGAATGTATGGCCTTTCGGGGATGAACTAACTGTTGTAGACTTTTTCCCCAGAGGATGGGTTAAGAAGTTTTTATATTTCACACATGTAAGAAAGAAACTTAAATATAACACTCAGGCTTCTAGAACAAAACCAAACAGGTAAGGAGAAAACTATTACAAAGCCATTACAATTAAAAAAGAAAAGAAAAGAAAAATACACACATGCACACACACAAACAGAATAGTTGAGAAAAAATTTTCAATAGAATGTAAGAGTTGCAGGTATGTGTGTATATATTTACACCTTGACCTCTAAAGTTTTCTTCTACAGTATCTCTGTTATGAATTTGATGAAAAAGTGTTATTTGGGTTATGGGAATATTGTTAAAGTAGATTTAAGAGAGATGAAAATTTTGTGACTCTTGGTAATTATAACTGAAGAGTTGTCAAAAGTTGCCACAGCTTATCCTTGGTGCTGTTTTTTTTCCCAACCACAGTGGACTTTTTTTGTTTTGTTTTGTTTTTATATTTAGAAACAAAAAGGTATATTGACTCATGTATTTGAACATTATTTGACATCCTTTTTTATTATGTAGTTGACTATTCTACCTGTCTAGTCTTCCACTTAGGGTTGGCCTCAAATCTATAGGACTTATGACAAATGTATATCTGCTTAGGTTGAGTTTAATATTTTTTTATTAACCTGTAAATAAAGATTGCATCTTCTACATTAAAATGATACTGATCTCATTTTTAAAAAAATAAACATTTTATGTTTCTTTCACATTGAATACTTTGGTTTATTATTTCTTTCTAATAGCTTCTCATATTTATACCAACATGCATAAAGTCCATGCAAAGGTTGAGCGCAGTTACTATGGTAGATGTGTGTGTGTGTGTAGGAATTAACTGTTTGATATTAGGAACTGTTTAATGTTAGTTAAAGACATGTTGGTTGGAAGGAACTGCCAGAGCAGCTATGGGACCAATTTTCTGTTGAATCTTAGCAGATGGAGAAAACCCTAGTCATCTTGCCTTCATTCTGTGTTGTTGACAACCGATGGTCTCTAAAGATAACATTGATAAATAGCAAACCAATCCTAGATACTGTCTAAGGGAGGATATCCTTCCATTTTACATCTAAGCATGTATAATTTAGAAGCTCCCAAATTATGCTTAAAATTAATTTTTAGAACTATTTGATTAATCCATTTTTTAAGTTTCTTTGCCTCAGGAAGTTTTACCTGTGGTCATAAATAGTTAACCTAAGAACGTGTGGGAATGCCTTTTCTTTGCAATCAGGAAGATAAACTTACAAAATGGTACTTTAAGAATTAATACAAATTGCATTAAAGGAAATTACTTAAATTATGAACATTTAGAAATACTTAATTTTTGTCATTAAATAACCTTGTGTTAGTGCTAATACTTATATGCTTATTGTGTGTTGGTTTAAACTTCCAATTCACCAAGTCATTTGGAAAAAAATTCTTTCCCCACGATTTATCTGCATAGGATATTGTTGAATTTATGATTTAAAAAAATACTTGCATATTCTTTGTTAATCAGTGTTTTATTTTAGAGGATTTTATAATGGTAACTTACGAATTGCCGTGTGCTCTTGGTGCTAAATGTTTGATAATAAAGTAATAAATCTTTTTCAGGTGTATTTTGAAAGCCATAATCACTGCTGCGGCAGCCATGAGACTGCATCTCTCAGATCTCCCACTGCAGGGAGCGTCGTTGATTGCAGGTTCCAGCTGCTGAGCTCTGAAATCCATCACTGCGTTCATACCGAGGCTACACTTCCCACAGGCTGCTCTCAGCCAGTGACTGATCATGACAGGGATATAATGACTTCTCAACTTTGACTCAAGGAGTCCTTGACGGCCTTGCCAAACTCTTAGGATTGCATTGTAGTCTAAGATGCTTCCACCCAACTTTCCTTCCTCTTTTTATTCACTCGGGTCAGACTTGCATCGTGGTCTCATTGCCTCCCAGCCTTCTGCCAACCCTAACTCCTTCCCTATTTCTCCTGACCAGCATTGCCCCTAATAAATCTGTTGTACAGCTAATCCTATTGTAGTCTTGGAGTCTGCTTCTTGGAGGACCCGGACTAACACAAATGGACCAGGAGAGGGATCTGAAGAAACACATGGTAAAATGGGAATTGGGAACTGGCTCATCTCTCACTCACAGGGTGAAAAGGACAGCTACATGGAGTACATATAGTCCTTAGTACAAGGTATGGCTCATTTGCTAAATATTTCACAGGTGGTGTGTGTGATGGATTGAATTCTGTCCTCCCAAAATAGGTGTTGTAAATCCTAAACCCCTAGACCTATGGATGTAAACCCATTTGGGAATAGGACTTTGTTAATGTTAATGAGGTCATATCAGTGTAGGGTAAGCCAGCCACCTTCGATACAGAAAAAGAACAGATACTATGCACAAGGAAGCAAGCACAAATGGAAGGGAAGATACATGGTGCATGAAGATCACCAAGGAACTGAGGAAAAGATGCTGAAAAGAGACAAGGACCTTACTCCAGAGCTGACAGAGAAAGCCTTTCCCTAGAGCCAGTGCCCTGAATTCAGGCTTCTAGCCTCTGAAACTGAGAAAATAAATTCATGGTTGTTAAAGCCACCTACTTGTGGCATTTCTGTTACAACACTAAGAAACTAAGATAGTGTGCCTGAAACTGTACCTTAGAAAGGCCTGCTTGCAAGGTTGGCTCTTGGTTGGCACCTGGCAGCTTGCATTTCGGGGGTGTTTCCACCATTCTCTAACTGATAAGGGTGGTTTATTGTGCCTAAAATGTTTGTACAAACAGCAGGGTTTATGCCGAACATCTGCTTTCCTTCTGGAAGAATAGAACTTTGGAACATGCTAGCAAAGGATACTTACATGACTGACCCCTGATCAAAACTCTGCACTCCTAGGTTCAGACAAGCTTCCCTGGTAGACAACACTTCACACGTTTTGTTACACATTGTTGATGGGGGAATGAAGCATATCCTGTGTGGCTCCCTTGGGAGAGGACTCTTAGACCTTGCACCTGGTTTATTATGGACTTTGCCCCATCTGCCTTTTCCCTTTGCTGATTTTGCCTGTGTCCTTTCTCTGTAATAAATCATAGCTGTGAGTACAACTATTAGTCCTGTGAGTCCTAGTGAAATAACTGAACCCAGGGTGTCCTAGAGGAAAATATACCAGTGGAGCAAAATCTTCTAGGAGATGCAGTGATGTAGGCATTTGAAAAATATGGGGAGAACAATGCCTATAAGGAACAATAGAGTTGGCTGTTTACTGCTAGGTTGTATTGATGCCCTGCAAAAGGATAACAAGAAACAGGGCTGTTTTCAAGCTGTTAATGCCTAAATCTGAGAACCAGAAGACCTCTGGGGTAGCTTACAATGAGGGCTTATCTCCTACAGTAGAAAGACTGAAGCAACAGAGCTTAAAGTTGAAGATCTAACTGTTAGAATTGTAGAGCTATAGAGACTAGAATGCTCAGCCAAGGCCTATTTATTTTGTGAAAGTCAGGGCCCTGGTAGGTAAAACCTGGTACCTTGAAACATGGCCATGGGGACATCTGGCTGAATGTCCCTGAGAAGTTTGAAGACCCTACTGGAACTCCTGATCTCGCAGAAGTAGCCTACTCTTAAGTAGTAAAATCTAGTACTTCTGCTGTGCTGGAAGATGCTACAGAGGCCACTTCTCCCCAAAGCAACAGCTGCCCCCACCTAACCTCTTGGCTGCGAGGCCCATGTTGTTAGTTGCTGTAGAGTCGATTACAACTCATTCAGACTCCATGTGTGCAGTCGAACTGCTCCATATGGTTTTCAAGGTTGTGACTTTTTGGAAGCAGATTGCGAGAACTATTTTGTTTTATTCTTTAGTCTCTATCCCTTCATTTGGCACTTAGGGTTCCAGGATTGATGTTTGTATCTGTTTTACTTAGTTTTTTGGGTCTTTGCTGTGGAGGGACAGCATGGTGCTTCTGTCTATAGCGCCATGTTGGCTTTGCCTCGAAAGGAATATTTCTTAAGGCCATGTTACATAAATGCGTCTGTGTCAAAACCCCCCTCTTCAGGGTGCATTCTTTCTACCTCCTGACTTTAGAAAATATCCTTCTAGCCACCCATAGTTGCTAGCCAGATAAAGAGCCTAAAGAACAGGCATTGTTAACTTCAGTTTTAATTCTACGAAATGCAGCAAAAACATTGGTTTAGTTCAGGCATTTATTTTGGTCAAAGGTACAGGAAATTTTCTCTTATACAAGCTGAACATTTAACCACTGCACCACCAGTGCTCCAAAAAAGGTCATTAAACCAAACCCAAACCCTTTGCCATGAAGTTGATTCCGACTCATAGCGACCCTATAAGACAGAGTAGAACTGCCCCATAGGCCTTCCAAGGAGCGGCTGGTGGATTTGAACTGCTGACCTTTTGGTTAGCAGCTTAGCTCTTAACCACTACACAACCAGAGCTCCATAAAGAGGTCATTAATGGTGGTTAAACAGAGGTCACTAGGGTCTCCCTGAAAGAAGCCTTGGTGGCACAATAAATGACTGCCAAAATGTCATAAACTAGAATAATTAGTGATTTCTCTTACAATGTCATTTTGGTGAAAAGTTTCATATTGTTGTTAGGTGTTGACGAGTCAATTAAGATTCACAGCAACCCCATGTGCCTTAGTTATCTAGTGCTTATAGTTCTGTAGGTCAGAAGTCCAGACATGGCATGAATGGGTTCTAGGAACTGAGAGTAGCCCTTGGCTGACAGTCAACCAGGAAACAGGAACCTTGATCTTACTACAATTAAATTTTGCCACAAGCACGAGAGATTGGAGAAGGATCCTGAACTGCAGATGAGACTGTAACCATGCTAAAACCTTGATTTTAGCCCTGTGAGACCCTGAGTAGAGAACCCACTCATACCATGTCTGGACTTCTGACCTACAGAACTATAAACTGATAATGGATGTTATTTGAAAGTCACTAAGTTTGTAGTAATTTGTTAAGCAGCAATAGAAAACCAATGCAGATTTTGGAAATGGCTGAGTTATTTTGTTAGAGATGATACAGAAATTAATAAAATGGCTGAGGGAAGTAGGCTTGCTGGAATGGTCATTTACTGTAAGGCCAGAAGACCCACCAAGATTGTCCTTCCTGGTAGAGCTCAGAGGACACACCATTTATAAGGCCATCAGGAATGTGAAGTGCTGCTGAGAGAGGGGCACAAGCATAACTAAGGGGTGGTGGCTCACTTTTGCAGTCCAGAACTTAGAGTAGGAGAGGCAGTGACAGAACCGGGTTTTTCAATATCTTTGATGGAGGCTAGGTAGTAGTGCTCAATCACAAGAGCCCC